AGAATACAGTAAGTATGTGTTAATTGACTGTTTATGTGATCAGTAAGGCTTCTGGTCAATAGTCGGCTATTAGAAGTTAAGTTTTCTGGGAGTCCAAAGTTATATGGGGATTTCCATCTTGTGTGAGGTGAGGGTGGGGTTGGCGGCCCTAAACCTCAGGCTGTTCAGGGTTCCCTGTACTACAACCACACAGAATAGTTAAAAGTCTTATTCAAATAAGAGCCAATCCCTCCCTTCCCCTGCCTGGTTTATGTGTGAGGTAACAAAAGGCCAGTGGACCCGACTCTAGAAACTTTGACCCCCCCAAAAAGTAGATCATTAGCATATCCTCCTTTGAAGGGCATATTGCAGTATTTTACACAGCGATTTAGGTGGAAATTTTCTCAGGCTCTAGTATGGATACCACTCCCACCCACCCCACGGGTGAGAGAGAACAGGCTAAAATCTTGTCTTCTCCCACTACTGTGCTACTCTTGGCCCTGTCTCCCTACTAGAAACCTCCATGGGACTTCAGCCCCCACACCTGGAACACATCACACTCGAGAACACAGACAGCAGCCGAGCCAGCTCATGCTTCCTACTTCCCCCTCATTCTCCTGAAAAGGCAGCATCCTAAAGTTTTCATAGCTCCCGAGAAGTGTGGTTCTTTTCTCACTCTCTGTTATAGACTATGTGTTTATGTGTCCCCAAATGCAGGTGTTGAAGCCTTAACCCCCAGTGTGATGCTATTAGGAGGTGGGGTCTTTGGGAGGCAATTAGGTTTAGATTAGGTCAGGAGGATGGGGCGCCTAAGATGGGATTAATATGCTTATGTGAAGAGAAAGAGACCAGAGCTCGCTTGCTCCATCGTACAGCAAGATGGCAGCCGCCTACACACCACGAAGTGAGCCCTTTCACCAAGAACCAAATCTGCCAGCACTTTGATGGTAGCCTTCCAGCCTCTAGAATTGTGACCAAAAAATCAATGTCTGCTGCTCAAGCCACCAAGTTTGTGATATTTTGTTACAGCAGCTTGGGCTGACTAAGACACTCTGACTGCTTCCTTCTCAATCTTTAAGGGGAGTGTCTGATGAATGTAATTCTCCACCATGTTACATGAGTATTAAGGTCAACTAATGTGAGTAGGATGCAAGTTGTATAAGTAAATAGTAAGCAGGACTGGATTCTGGATCACAGATTTAGTACTTGTCAAAAAACCGAAAGAGTTGGTTAACCATGGTTGGTTAACAATCTGTTTCCTTGTAGAAATCTACCTCTCTTGGGTTATGTGGATCTTTGCTTGGTGCCAGTTTTGTAGGATGCAGGATGGGAAGATGTGCTTATTTCCAGGCCCTTATTTCCAGCGGCAGGTCACTCCCATTCTCTGCTCATGATCCGGCTCGGTTTTCACTTTGAGCACTCAATGTGATTTCAGTGATATTCAAATGATTTCTACAGGGTTTGCTCCTTCTAATATAGCCTGCAAAATACCATGTGCTATAGACTGAATGCTTGTGTCTTCCCAAAATTCAAACGTTGAATCCTAATCCCCAGTGATGGTATTAGGAGGTGGGGCCTTTGGGAGGTGAGGAGGTCATGAGAGTTGGAGCCCCCATGAATAGGCCTGATGCCCTTATAAAAGAGAACCCGGAGAGCTCCTTTCCCTCTTCTGACATGAGGACAGACTAAGACATCAGGCAGGCCTTGCTTATTCACGTGGTAGCTTCATGGTCCTATAGGTGCATTCAAATAAATAACAGACTGACAAATAAGAAAAGAAGAAGACAATAAGAAGAAGGAACATGGAGAGAATGGCTGGCTGGCTGATGGGCTGCACCGACAGGTGCACAGACCATCATGGGCCCAGCTTGGGTTTTCTTCTCAAAATTCACCCAGGCCCTGAACAAATAAATCTGTTCACATCTATTTCATCTGTTCACGAGTTCTCTGCCCCCTGGGGAGGAGTGCTGTCTCCTACAATCTGGTTTACCCACCTCCCACCACAGACTGGGTGGAGAGACAGCCCTAGATCTACCTTGTCTCCCTCCAATGAGATCTTAATCTCCTGCTGGGTTGAGTCATTGCCTGAGTGTCTAAACCAAAGTTCCTTCTACTGAGAATTCAGTCTTACCGCCTCCCAATCACTGCACATCTTCCTGCTCCTGGGAAGGGCCTGTGACCCTAGAGTTGTACACAGCCTTGGTTCATGCCCTGGCCATCTCTTCCTAGTTATGTTACCTACCTCTAGCAGTCTTCAATATGTCTGGTCCATTTTTTCCTCCCCCATTCTCCTTCTGCTAGACTGAAATGCTACCTGGTGGACCACAGGCTCCTACAAGTAGCAATATGCCCTTGGAGAACTCTTCGGATCCCACAGCTGAGTGTGAACCTGAGAATCAGGTCTATGTGTGACCCTGAACCTAAGCCTGATTATATTTGAACCAGCAATCTGGAGTAGGAATGGCTCCTCCGATTTGGAAATCCTCACCTCTAAAATGGAGCTGACCCCCACAAACCTGGGTCTCCAAGCCAACCCTGGAAATGAACCCTCCCAAGCCAGGACTGGTTCCTTCAAAACAATTGAGTGAGCACTGCAACCCTGAGCACGTTTGTCTTATTGCCAGAAGGTTCCCCATCTCAGTGAGGGCTGATCGCCACAGCTCTGGGAATGGCCTTACCCTAGGACTGAGGATCTCTGTCCTAATGCCATACTATATTTTATTTAGGATTTTTGCCTTGACAGTCTTAAATGAGAATGGCTTATAGTTTTCTTTGGGGTGTGTTTATTAGGTATCACTACTGTGCTGGCTCATACAAGAAATTTGAAGCTTTCCTCCATTCTCTATGCCCTGGAACAGCACATTAGGATTCAGTTCCCCTGTGGACTTGCTGCTATTTTGGACAGTAGGTCTTTGCTCTTCTTCCCTATTTCTCCTCTGATTGTGGTCTCTTTAAATTTTATAACTTGTCCAAAGCCCATTTTAAGAAATTATACTGTCCTGCAAATTAACTCCTTGATCTAGATTTTCTGACTTATTTGATAAAACTCAACAAAGTCTTCTCTTAATATAACTTTACTTTCCTCTGTGTCTGGAGCTCGTTGCTTTGATTCCATACTTTGTATATTTGTACTTTCTTCTTGTTTTCTTGCTTAGCTAACAGCTTACCTATTTACTTTCAAACCATCAGCTCCTGGATTTATTTTTTAGTTATATATTTTTTCTGTTCTATACACCATCATTTTAGGCTTTTATCTTTACTCATTACATCCTTCTGCTCTTCAAAGGTATATTTTGTTCTATTTCTACCTTCTTGTATGGGTGCTTAATTCATTTCATTTATCCTAACTCTTTAATGAACATGATCATTTAAAAGCATGATCTTAGGAATATGTAGCTAAATCCCACGGGTTCTGATTGGTCATTTTCACTTTCATACTCTTGCAGGTATTTTCTGTTTTGTTTTTGTTTTTCTTTTTGATCCAAATGTTATGTGACCCTTTAAAAATTTCCAGGTAATAGGAATATTTTATTTTCTGTTTTGTCATTAATTTCTAGTTTTATTGAATTGTTATCCTATAATATTATTCATATGGTTCTACTTATTGAGATATATTAAGATTTTGCCTGTGGCCTAAAATACGGCCAGCCATGAATGTTCATTCCAAGGACACTTGAAAAGATGTAATCTCTGTTTCAGGATACCGAGTTTTACGTATTAGATCTACCATATTAAATTAATAATATATTATTGACATATTAATAATATATTACCAAATATCTAATATTAAGCATATCAATATATTATTATGTTAATAATATATTATCTAATAACTAATATTAAATTAATTATGTACAATTAATATAATAGAATGTATTTTTAAGTCTTCTCTATCCTCTTTTACCTCCTGTGCCCTTAGTCTGGCAAGGACTATCAATTATTTCTAACTATTTATTCTTTTTATATCTCCTATAGTGTTTGCTATGAATAATGAAATTATGATACTCGGTGCATAGATATTCCTATTTGTTCCTCATTGTGAATTGCAACTCTTAGGATTGTAAAATGCCCTTCTCAGTCTCATTTAATGCTTTTTGCCCTGAAATCAGTAAGTTTGTGATCCCTGATTTCTTTATGTTTGCATATTCCTGGTATATCTTTTCCAAAGTTCTTGTGTTTTTGAACTTTCAGAATGACTTTTTCATGCATGTTCTTGTGCGTAACATAGAGTTGTGTTATGGCTGGTGCTCCAATCTGGAGTTGCATTTTTCAGACAAGTATTTTGGGCTTATTTAACATTTACTCACGTAAGGTGTACCGTCTTAGTTCTCGCATGTTATTTTGTTACGCTTTCTGTTTTGTCACTTTTCCAGACAGCTCACTCTGCTCTTGTTTGACTTTGTAGTTGTATGTGTTTTGATCATTTGAAAGGTTTGCATTTTTGTTCTGAGTTCTGTGATTTTAATGACAATGTTACTTGATGTCTTTAATCATCTATTTCTTTAGGTTGTCTATTACCTCCCTACTATATTTCTTTCTTTTCTCCCTTTTCCTACTCACCAGATTTTAGTTGCTTATACCTCTTCTTAGTATGTTCCTTTGTAGGAAGATGTGTATTTTGATCTCTCTTATTTGATTTATCAGCTCGAAATATTTCTTATCCCTCATTATAGAGGTGAAAATCATATTTACACAAATCCCATTTTCTCTTTCCTCCCACTTTCTGTTATATCGTTTTTAAATTGTGAGGCCTTATAACATTTACCTTCTCTTGTGTAAGCCTAAACTCATCTACTCTCGCCTTAGTCGGACACTTAATTCAATGCATCCGTTTTGCAGCAGCTTTCCCATACATCTCGCTTATGGCGATTTATTTTCAGCTTTGTGCTTAGACATGGACGGTTTTGAATGCGTGAGAACGAAGGGGTTGGAGGGATTCTACCCACCTATCCTATTAGATATTAGAACGCAGTGGGCTCCAAAGACCGTCTTTGCAGCCTTCGGACGTTTCTCCTCCTCACCATCTGGGGTCACTGCTAGGCTCTCCCGAGTCTGAAATTTCACAAACTCGGGCCACTGCGACCCCTCATGGCGGGAGAGAAGGACGCCGGAGGAGGGGAGGTGCAGTGCGGTCCTCCCGCCGGCAGGGGTCGCCGCGGCAAAGCGGCCCGCGGCGCAGACGCAGGCGTGCCTCTCTCCCGGCCGCACGCGCTCCCTGACCCCGCGCCGCCGCGCGCCCTGCGGACTCGGCGTAGGGGTTGGCGCCGGTTCAGGTCTTGCGGTCGCGGGCTTACGCTGAGTACGCCCAGCCCGCCCTCTCCGCGGCGCCTCGGCCCCGGTGCGCCGCCGCGGCCCATGGGGAGAGTCGGCCGGGCGGGCCGGGTAAGTGGCGCCCGAGGCGGCGTCCGGACGGGCGGCCTGGCGAGGAGCCGGGGCGGGAGCGCCTCCCCGGGCGGCGCTGGACGCGAGGCCGCGGCTTTAGGCCGCGCCGCGAGGGGGGCGAGAGGTCCCGGGCCGGCCCCTCGGAGCCGCCGACGCCCTCGGCCTCCGGGCTGCGGGCGACCCGCCGTGTTTCCCCTCGCGCCCGCCGCCGCCGCCTTCCTTTATTTGCCTCGGGTCACCGGGCCCTCGAGTTCTTCCTGTCTTCTTCCTATTCTTCCCTTTCCCGTCTGTGTGTTTCCTCTCTTGGACCCGAGCACGTTGTGTTGTTTTTTCTTTTCCCCTCTCCGTCGGTCCTGTTTTGAAAAAGTTGCTCCGTCCCTAGACGCTGGTAGCCAGGTTTGTGTCACCTGTGGCCCAGCACCCTTGTGCCCCCCCTCCTGGGCCCGGGGAGCGGAGAGGGGGCAAGTCACTTCCTTCCGGGGCCGCGGGTCGGGGGACTCCGGATGTTGACGTCTCCGAAAGGCGCAGGTACCTAGACAGGTGATGGGAGACAGAACTCCGGCGTTACCTCGGCCCCTTTCCTTGTCGGGCGGTGTTGTAGCCCTGATGCTCAGTCACCAAACATGTTCCCGGAGTATTTCCCCCCCCAGACCATGTGTCCTGAGCAGCAGACGCGGAATAAATAAGTAAGATTGGGTCCCTACTCAGGGAGTTTGGTCTCTATGGAAACAGGCATTAAAAACCCATCCCTGGGTTGATCCAGGGGCTTCCCAGAGGGGGTGATGCTTATAACTGAGTCTGGGAGGTGTTTTGTTAGGTGTGCGGGGGCCGGGGGGGAGAGGCTCCCTGCTGAGGAAAGAAGTACAAAGGTAGCAGACGAGAAGCACCATAGTGCATTCTGGAAACGGCAGGTAGGGTAGTTTTGAGAGGCGGGTAGTCGGGTGAGCTCGAGAAGGCTCTTTGAGAAGGCAGTAAAGGAGAGACGCTGAAGGTCCTTATTGCTAGAGCCAAGCCTACGGATGGAAAATAGCTGCCCTGGAGAAGGGCAGGATTCTGCATATACTCCGGTGAGCACTGTGTCTCCTGGCAACAGGTGGAGTTTTTAGAGGATGCGCCTCAGTTTCCACACGTTTAGGGGATAAAGGCCACCACCATTTTTACTGTAATAGAGATATTTGAGGAATTGGGGGTAATGCATTAGTAACGTAAGCAGAGGATGTGTTTTGGAATTTTCTTAAGAGACGTGCTAGCTGCTCTACAGCCTAGAACGAGTAGGTTGTGAGACAAGAATGTAACAAGGTGTGATAGACGTGTTATCAGTGGAAAGCTGTTGTGATGGTGGAGTCCTGTAATAACTAAAGATAGCCTTTATGGAAAATAAAAATTTGAGGGGAATTGTTGGTGTATTCCCAACTGTGAATGTACAGAATGGATTTCTTTTTTACCTGGTTTGTTTTAAATTACCTTCAGGGAACATCCAGGGCTAGCAATCCCTCAAGTCTGTCATAACAGTGAATAGTGAAGGACGTTTGTTATCCACCCACATTCCAGGTGACTTTTCTGGACTTCGTGACAGTACACCCCCTCCTAAGAAGGGATGTGACCGGCGTGTCAGAGGTGGAGATACAGGAAAAAAAATGTTTTCATTCTTTAAAAAGTCGTTGTAAATTTTACATGGGGCAGATGCCTTTTATTGCTCATTACCTGTATTTTTTGTGAACATCAACATGCACCGCCCTCATAGTTCCTTCCTTTCTGTCTGTATATACTTTCCATGTTCTTTAGGCTTCATTTTTGCTTTAGGATACATGAGTATCTATTAAGTGATTTTAAAAAAAGTTTCTTACCATGCTGCTGCTTTAGGTGCTCAGAACTCAGACTTTGACTCATTGTTAGTTGTATGGTGGTGGTCGTTTTTCGCCCATTATGATGGTGTACAACTTAAAATTTAGCACACTTATGTCAAATACCATTTACAATAAGTTGTGTCCTTAAAAAGCAGATCTGAAGATCTTATTGTTTCATAATGTGATTTAAGTAGGTGCACTTGATAACATTTAGAAAACATGAAGTGCTTACAGTGTTCATAGCATGGTGTTCAGCTGGATGAAGACAAAATCCGCCCTTACCTTTAAGGGGCTTGTAACAGAGGAAGAGACAAGCATGTCAACCAGGAGGCACCGTAACCTATAGAAGAAGTTGCTCTGAGTTTGTTCGGGGGAAACAAGTAGAGGATGGAGAGTTTTATGTGGGGGTGGCAGTCGCTGAAGGCTTCATAGATGCACTTGAGAAATGAGAGAAGTGGGCTGCTTCTGAGAAGACTCGTTCCATGTTCTTTCTCTACTAGTTGCATGTTTAAAAAAATACTTTGCCAGCTTACAATTTTAACAAGTCATCATTCTTCTGGCAGACCGTGTTTACTGTGTTTCTTCTTAAGAACAAAAATGGCGCATACATAAAAGAGGTGTTGATCAAAGTCTGGTGTTACCATAAAAAAGAAATAGCAGGTATTTTAAAGTTCTAAAAGTCACATGTCTGTGTTTGTATTTGACCCTGACGTAAAGTGTATCCAAATGTTAGCGCTAGTTTTTATTACCTGCCACTAGACTTCATGAAATAAATGTGTTCTGTCATCTAAGTAACATCTCAGCAGTAATTAGGTTCAGTTCATGGCAGTCTTGTCAATGCTTGTTACATTTCAGTGACTGCAGTGGGGAGAATGAATGAATCAACTCTGGTATATTAGAAGTGCTTCAAACAGCTAAAATCAAAATGTGCACACCTTTTGAGGAAATCACGTTATATAAAAGGAGGATAGTAAGGAATTAATGGGGATGGAATTCAGGGTGCTGCCCACCCCTGGGCTGGGGAAATCACATGAATGGGATGGGGAGGGGGTGGGTATCGGGATTTAATGTGGTTCTTTTGTCCAGATTCTGACTCTTGTGGTAAATTCACTGGTGCTGTAGCATTACAGTAATTAAAAGCAGGCCATACATGTGTGGATGGATAATGAGTGTGTCATTGCTGTGATTAATCCAGTTCTGTGAATTCAAAGTCCGTTCAAGCGAGAAAAGTGAAGAAAGCTCTTCCTCATTTACTGTGAAGCGCAGATCTGATCTATAAGCTCTGTGTCACAGAAAACCAGCAGATGCTGGTGAAATGACATCAGTTTCTAATATTTGAAGTGTGTTTTCAAAGGTTTTGAGAACAGAAACGGTGGTTTAAATGAACGTAAGATTTCGCTGCGTAGTGCTTTTCGAAACTAGGAGAGGGGGCAAATCAAATGGAATTGTCAACAGACCATCTTCGATTTGGAAATGGAATCATTGGAAGTATGGCCCCGTGGGACCTCATTAATTCAGCCATGAAATCTTTGCTAAATACTGGATTTTCGGACAGAAGAACTCTGGTGGAGGAAGAGATCCTGTATACTGTTTGACTTTCTTTTAACCCCCAAATTTGGGAAAATATTTCCATGAAAGTTTACTCTTTCTGGTAGGGAAATGTACTAGTGTTAATTAGACAGCAGCCTGTTCCTCAGGTACTGCTTCTCCCTCCCTCTTATTATTTTCTGTTTGTGTGTGGTAAATGTACAGAACACACGACCTGGGATTTGAACCATTTTAAGTGCGTGGGACCACAGGGCAGTAAATACATACACATTGTATAACCATTAGTACCATCTATCTCCAGAACCTTTCGCCTGTCTTTAACTTTCTAGTGGAACCTCAGGATTGTGTCATGTCTCTGCTGATTCCTGTGGCTACACAGACTTTACTTAATTATTAATATCTCAGCAAATGTTTGTTTATTAAATTCCTACCCTGTGCCAGAAATTGGAGATGCACAGGTGGATAAGCTAATCTTTTTCCTTCATAGTTCAGTGGGTGTTTGGTTAGCCTATTTCCATTGGCACCAACATATTTGTAAATACCATTTTTGGTGAGGTTCTTAAGTTTCTTATGAAGAGGTACTGGGAGAAGTAGAGTTTGGGTTACAAGCAAATTTGCAAATAAATATTAAATTTGTTTATAATGTCCTGGAAAGCTTCATTGTTTATATTTACTTCCCAGAATGTGTTAGTCTTCCCTTGCCTTTATGAGAATAAAGAAAAACAAATGAACCCATAGTTTAACTAGGCTTTGGTTTAGTGACTAGTTGAATGAAGAGAGCCTGTACAGTTAAACTAGGTTAGATGAGAGGTGCATGGGCATTTTCAGTAGTAAGCTGGACATTCAGCATTGTTTTTCTTTGCTGTTGCTCTGAGTTCTTCCATGAAATTTAAAGTTTAAGGATAGGTATTTAGATAAGAACGATTAGTTTTGAATACCATGTGGGCTCTGAGGAAGGTGCATGAAAGCCTCTGAAGCTCTTTGGTACATTGCTCTTCCTTCTGGGCACTCATCATTGGCCAGAAATCTCTGAAAAGGTGGCTTGGGAGGGGTTTGCAAATAGAGCATTAACCTTGCAGTTGGCCTACCTTCCTGTTCAGCTCTGGGTCAGACGTGATCGTAGTCTGGGGAAGAGTGCAGTGAACTCAGCAAACTGGATTTAGGTTTTCGTGGGGTTTACCATAGTGTGGATTAAAACAGGTTCTGAAGTGGACGCCAGGGGCTTTCCTTACTGTTTCTTTATTGCCTCAGTGACTTGAGCTTAATGTGACAATGGGCCGCCAAGTTCCCGAATAAAATGTTCACTTTGTCTGGCACTGCAGGCAGTGGGCATTTATTTCCCTGTTGGATATGCTGTCTAGGAAATTCTTTGTTCATGCTATCAGCTGAGCTGGTGAGTTGTCACAGAAGCCTTACTGAGGAGAACATGCGAGCATTCCTCGATTTTTAGGTGATTCATTAGAGCAGTCAGCCACCACTACCCTGGGCTCTCCTTTATTCTCCCTGTGTGTGTACTGCCTTGGGGGCCTTTCATTTAGAAATCAAACCTGAGAGCTTTTAGGTAATCTGAGGGCTGGAATATTAAGGATAGAAGAAACAGGAAAGCAGCAACAGTTGCGTGGGGCTCGGACTTCCAGGCTAAGAACTGCCCTGCTCAGACCCAGACCAGCTCTTCGGGGGGCGGGGGGGGGAAGTGGGGTGGTACCCACCCCACACAGAGTGAACCAGGGTCAGCCAGGATGTTGTGGTGGCAGGGTCTTAGAATACCAAACCTAGAAGGGCAGAGAAGTAAGCATATACCAGAGAGAAGTTTTTGCCCTGAGTCAGACACAGCCAGGGTGGGGGAGGGGGGGATTAAATATTTTCCTTCTCGTCTGTATTACCTTCTCTTCCTGAGAGACCAACACAGGCGAAACAGGATTTGTTTAACACAGTTCCTATGGCAGAATGCTGTCTGGACCTGGGAACTGACAGATTTTTTTGGAATGTGTCCATAAGTCAGAAACTACCTATGCTAAATATTTTGCAATTTGGGGATTTCAATTTTTTTTTGCTCTTTCCATTTGAGAAAGAGATTGATTTTTTTTTTTATTTTGGGAAGGGTCTCTGTTGTGGTCTCACCCAGAATGTTGAGTTTGTAAAAAGGTGACAGTAGGGGCACCTGGGTGGCTTAGTTGGTTAAGCGACTGCCTTCGGCTCAGGTCATGATCCTGGAGTCCCGGGATCGAGT